GCAGATACAGTTTCCAAGTAAGTAATTTAAGTCAGTCTATTTACACTTATTCATACTTTTTATTATAGGTGTTTCCACAGGATCATTAATATGTTGAATTCACCCAGCATATACTATACATTTATCAAGCTTCCTAGAGAGGGAGCTCCTACTCCTGTGGAAATACAAACAAACCCAAAATGGTACCCTTATTTCAAGGACTGTCTTGGAGCCCTTGATGGAACCCACATATATGCTTCTGTCCTTTCTGATCAACAGCCTAGATACAGGAACAGGAAGGGATTTATATCTCAGAATGTTCTGGCTGTTGTATCATTTGACATGAAGTTTCTGTATGTTCTTAGTGGATGGGAGGGAAGTGCATCTGATAGTACAGTCTTGGACAGTGCTAGGCAACAAGGCTTCCTAGTTCCAGATAGCAAGTATTATCTTGGCAATGCTGGCTTTCCAGTCAGTACATCAGTACTTGTGCCATACAGAGGAGTACGTTATCATTTGAGAGAATGGGCTGCTGCAAAGAATAGGTATGTATTTATCTAACTCATGAAACCTTCAATACATTTAAATTTAAATTTATAGACCCTTAGACACAAAGGAACTGTTTAATCTGCGTCATGCTACAGCCAGGAATGTTGTGGAAAGAATATTTGGTGTTTTCAAAGCACGGTTTCGAATTTTTGCTACTGCACCAGAGTACTCTATCGAAACTCAAGCAGCTCTGGTACAAGCCCTATGTGTAGTCCACAACATCATACGTATTTATGATCCTGCAGAGGTGCATGAGTGGGAAGAAAGTGACGAGGATATAGGGTCCGAGACTAGCATACAACGAGCTACAGGAGGAGCTGCACAACGAGCTGCAGCAGAGAACCTACGTGATCGAATTGCAGAGGACATGTGGAAAGGGTATAAGCGAGAACGCCGAAGGAGGGGAGAAGAGTGAAGGAACGTAACATGCCAGTGAGAACGATTTGCGAGTGACAGGAATGAAAGGGTAGAAACGAATGTGAATGAGGATGTGCCACAGCAGAAGGAGAAGGCGGTGTCATATTGTGTTCTCGCTCACGTAGTTGACCAGAGGATCGTGATGGTGCAATGCGAGAGGCATCTTGGAGAGGTGCAACGGTTATCTATTGAGCGTTTCATGTGCGGTCTCTTCGAACTGATGTATACTACTGTTGTATTGAGCGTTATGTATTGAATGACAAGCCTACGCCTGTTAAGATGTGGACATTGCGAGAAAACGCGGTTGGACAAGGCTTTGAACGACGGTTTGGGTGGTTTTTGCAAGTCACGAAGAGGTTGCCGGTGCTCTACTCCAATAGATTACGAAGAGCACTGGTGGTTTTCTGGGCTGCGTAGGAATGCAGTTGCGATTGTGCGGCCGTTTGTAGGAAAACGCACAGATAGACCGGCACTGTTTGTGAATCCCTTCCTGGGACGCGATTCGTTCTCACTTTACGTACCGAGTAACCGGATTTTCTTGTTCGGTGTTCCTGGAACTGAGGACTATGGAGTAAAGAGCGCGTTTCCTGGTTAATCTTGTTGATGAATGCTGCTGGTCTAGGGAACATATCGAAGGTTTTCTGTGATCTGCATCTTCATGAACGGATCGACATATTGAATTCAGAGGGAAAGTAGTCAAGATATTACAAAATAAAACTAATTTACATGCCTTTGTACCTAGCAAGGGATTTCTGCAAATAAGTAGTACGGTGATCCTTA